TACCAGCTTTTACCAGATTATAGTTATATGATCATTTTCCTTTAAACCCATCTCTATCTAAGTGAGTGATTAAATGTTAAATGTGATGAGTTTTTAACAATACTAAATTGAAACTTTATTTTTTTACATGGTTTAATAATTTTTTGTTATTAAAATTGAAGTTCCTGTTTCAAAGCTAACAGATAGATGGCTAATTTGTATGTCATTGACACTTTTGGCACTTTTTTGGGAGTATTTTCAAAAGTTTTTTTTTTCCTGTAAATGATTCAATAAATACCGTACCATGACATTCATACCGAGGTATTACCGTACCGTGAAATTCTGATACCGTTACATCCCTAATATATATATATATATATATATATATATATATATATATATATATATATGTGTGTGTGTGTGTGTGTGTGTGTGTGTGTGTGTGTATGTATATGTATATGTGTGTGTGTATGTATGTATGTGTGTGTGTGTGTGTGTATGTATATATTTTTATTTATTATTTATTTTTTTACCTTAAATAAAGTAAAAAAAAAGCTTTTATTACTTTTATTATACATAAACTGAAAGAAATAGGACCTCCTTGCTTGCATTAAACAGCACATGGGAAATACCATATTTGAAAAGTATTAAAATTTCTCTGGAGGGCTAATAATTTTGTCTTCAACTGTACATCAGACAGATTGAGTATGTTCTGAATCAGTGTTTCTGCAGTGCATCAGCTGCCATGCTGGAACTGCTTGTGCCTTCATTTGTCAGTTTAGTCACTTGTCTTAAAATAGAATAAGAAGCGGCTCATTCCTGTATTTTATACACTGTGCAAATGTCTGTCAAATGCATTTTTGAAGTCAGATTTATTAGCCCTCCTGTATATTTTTTTTCCTCCAATTTCTATTCAACAAGGAGATTTCTCTCAATGCATTTCTAAACATGATAGTTTTAATAACTCATAGCTGCTGGGAAAAAAAAGTAAAATAACGTTTTTTTTTTTTTTTTTACAGATAGGTTAATTTGGCAAGTCAATAACTGGTTTGTTCTGTAGACAATGTATTGACCTTTAAAACAATAAAAATGACTTTTATTCTAGCTGAAATAAAACAAATAAGACTTTTTTTCCAGAAGAAAACATATTACTGAAAAATGAAACATCTGTTTAACATCATTTGCTTTTTTGTAGCCAAGAGTGAGTTTAGCATTACATGATACAATGTTTTTTTTTTTTTTTGTAACCTGGTAACAACCAGTACAGCAAAAAGATGCCAACATGGCGGCAAAATTAAACAATGAGGCTAAAAGAAAACGTCTGTTTCTAAAGTCTTAGAAGCAGACAATTACACGGGAACAAAAATAAGAAACTGAAAAAAATAAATAAATAAATAACAGTTGTCAGTTTGGCAAGCCATTTTTATAAGAAAAATTTAGAATTGCATTAAAATACCAGCACATTTTTCATACTGCTCTTTCATTTGCATAAAATCTAGAATTTTGCTCATTATACATTTATTGACATATTTAAAATGTTTAAATTCTAGATTCACAGGCATAATTTTGCCATTATTTATAAATATGTGGCTAAGAAATAGCTATTAACTTTTTAGTTTTTTTTTTTTGGTGGGGCCAGTGAAAAGTTTGGCAGGGCAAGTAAAAATCTCAACCAATGGCCCGATTGGACCCGTATAAAAAATCCTTAGCGTTGAACCCTGTGATAGCTTTTTTTTTTTCATTCACGATTTTTGAAAAAAGTTTTGCATACAAATGACGATGTCAGATTGTGATTTGTACAGTACCAATTCACAATTAATCAGGGATGCACTGATATGACAATTCTGGAACAGTTCAAAAACAAAACTTCTGAAAGATTTTGATCAAACACCAAATCCGAAACTGCTTTTGTAATAATCATTTATTATTTTTTGAAATATTGTTGAATAATTTTAATTTTGTGGCGCTGTAAGTTTATTGTATTTTCACTTTAGTCCCTTTATTAATCCGGGGTCGCCACAGTGGAATTAACTGCCAACCTATCCAGTGTATGTTTTACGCAGTGGATGTCCTTCCAGCTGCAACCCATCTCTTGAAAACATCCATACACACTCATTCACACTCATACACTACTGACAATTTAGCCTACTCAATTTAAATTATACTGATTAAAAATAAAACGTACTGTGGCCTTTTCCACAGTAAAGTTTTAGTGACAGTGATTGCCTTGAAGCACCATTTTACCACTGTTTCTTGTATCTAGTATCTTATTTAATTTGTAGTACAGTCCTGCTTTTAATCTTTGTAGAAAACACTTTTATGGTCTATCGCTCAAAAAGGTGTTTAGCAAAGTTTTGCCCGAGACGGTTTTACAATTTTTATCATGTACAGTTGAAGTCAGAATTATGAGCCCTCCATTATTAGCCCCCCTGTATATTTTTTCCCCAATTTCTGTTTAACGGAGAGAAGATTACTTTCAACTTATTTCTAAACATAATAGTTTTAATAACTCATCTCTAATAACAGATTTCTTTTATCTTTGGTATGATGACATAATATTTTACTAGATATTTTTCAAGATACTATATTCAGCTTAAAGTGACATTTAACTAGGTTAATTAGGCAAGTTATTGTATAACGATGGTTTGATCTGTAGACAATAAAAAAAATATTGCTTAAGGTGCTGATAATACTGACCTTAAAATGATTTTAACAAAATTTAAAAACTGATTTTATTGGAGCCGAAATAAAACAAATAAGACTTTCTCCAGAAGAAAAAATATTACAGGAAATACTGTAAAAAAATTCTTGATCTGTTAAACATCATTTGGCAAATATTCAAAGAAGGAAAATAAATTCACAGTAGAGCGAATAATTTTGACTTCAACTCTATTAATGTAAAATAAAATCATACAGTATGGCATATAACTTGTGTTTGTTTGCTGAAGTTGTATTGTATTTATTTTACTTCTGACTTATTTTTCTTTTGCCTGAAATCCTGACATGGCATTAAATGAAATATACAATGCATCATCAGAAACGCACTGTATTGTAGCTCAAATTTGACAGTTTACTGCACTTTGTTGTCGTAGTTGTTAGTTTAGTAGCTAGATAATGAATGAAAAGTCTTGCATGTTCATAAATTATAACATAAAACAAGTGCACGATTGAGTGGATGTTGATGTCGATAGCTTGTGGCATCTAATGGTCACCTTTTATTTTGATGGTCTTTTTGTTGAATCTAAGTTACATTGCAACTAATTCTCATTAGATTATAAGTAGACTGTTAGGTTGGGGTTGAGGTTAGTGTAAGTTGATATGTACTTGCAAAGTTTCTTATAGTCATTTAAATGCCTGTTAAAGCAGCAGTATCAACCGATATTAAGCAGACAGTCTACTAATACTCGAATGGACCATCAAAATAAAGTGTTACCCATCTCAGTGACAGGAGCAGATGTGATTGACAAACATGAGCATCTAAAGGAATGGAAATCTGCGTAAAGATGCTGAATGATCATCGCTGATTCATTGATGTGTGATGGAGTTGATGAAAACACACTCCTGAACTTCTCACTCTCTTGTTTTTAGGCCTCTTGATGCTCTCATCTGACTGACCTACAGCACAGATCAGGTAGTTCCGCATTTCACCATGATTTCATATAAAATTCACTTTATGTGTGATAGGAGGACTAAAAAGTGGCCATAAATGAATATTTTCTCAATTCAAATGAGTAGCGGCTTTTTAGCGTGTGGAGAGAGAAAAGGAAAACAAACAGGCATCCAAAATGATTGACTCCAACATATATTTAAATATAAATCAAATATTTATTTATTTATAAATATTGATTTATATTTACTTACAAATAAAAAAACTAACTTGTGCAAACCAGAACAATTGTTTAAGCAACAATCTAAAAGTGTGGTCACATGTTTGGGTATGTTTAAGGCTGATTTATACTACTGCTTCAAGTGCACGCGTTTGCTCCAGCGCAGCCTTCGCGCAGTCGTATAGCCCTCACTGTGGCTGACGCCGACACGCTCCTCTCAAAAAATGTAACTACCTGCGCAACGACGCATAGCACAAGCTCTATGATTGGTCAGCTTGGGAGCGCTAACAAGTGTAGGCGGGGCCGAGAGCCACGCGAACCCTTTAGAGTGAGTGTTTACATGTGTTGAGTCCCGTGAAAAAACGGCAGGAAAAAGCACCAAATCTGACAAAAGCTTTCATAATAAACAGAAAACAGAAAAATAAACAGGGATCCAAAATGATTGTAACAATTATTTATTTATTTATTTATTTATTTAATATATGTATTTTTTTTTATTAGTCGTCAGTTATTTTGATACATCAGCACATACAAATACAGTCTCAGTCATACAGTGGGGTATAAAAAAAAAGGGGGGGGGGGAGATATACAAACAAGTAAACAGGATGAGGGGGAGATATACAAACAAGTAAACAGGATAATTAAGTCAAAATATATATAAAAAATATATACCATAGAATAGAAAATCAGGAGAAATTATTGATGTAATGCCAAAAAGGTGTCTATAGCTGCCAGAAGTCATCTGACTTTTGAGGTGTATCATAGGTTAATTTCTCAAGGGAAAATAACGCACATACTTGACAACCACATTTTAAAGGAGGGTACCTGAGGAGATGACCTGTAACAAATATTAACCTCAAAATATATATTTAAATAAAGATTAAATATTTATTCATATATTTATAAATATGTATTTAAATGTATTTAAAAATAAAAAAATAACTTGTGCAAACAGAACAATTATTTAAACGACAGTCTAAAATTCTGGTCACGAGCACTCGAGCAGAATGTGAAAATGAACAATCATCCAGTATGCAGCGAGTGTACATTTCCATTCACATCTGATCGATTTTATTGACCTTGATCTACATAAAAGTGTAGCTAGCTCTAGAAAAATATCATTCCCGGGACTTGTTATTGGCAGATACGCAACATTAAATGAAACTTGATCAGCACGACACTAGTTTGATTCCCACAGCCAAAGTGGCTGTGTTTGTGTGTGTTATTGGTTTTTAACATGTCTGTGTGAGGAGTGTTAATGTGAGTTCAGGATGCTGGAATGTTTTAGCGTTAACTTGCTGCACTTCTGAACCGACTATAGTATATGAGAAAAATTCCCATTCAAGAGGGCTTCAGTGCCGAACATGTAAAGGGATTTGAAGACGATAAAGACAAAACATTATTGAATGGATGAAAGATTTCTTTTCTTGACTTTTTACATCAGCTTTTGTGTGCTTTTACTGTTGTCAGTGTTTGTGCATGTGTGTCCCAGGGGATTATGGGTAAGTCTCAGCGGAGACCCTCAAATCCCTGCAGGAATGTGTGTGTGTGTGTGTGTACACATGCTTCAGTGCTTCACAGTAAGCAGAGAGAGATTGGGTTTGTTCTCATTGAGATGCAACTGTTTGGGAAATTCAGTTTTGTGTCAGCTGGAATGAGTTGTTGTTGTTGTTGTATTATTTATTTGACACATCACTATGTAGATATTTCAGGTTGATACTATTAGTTAATTAATCATGTATTGTTTATTATTTGGTTTGTTTTATTGGTTAAAATGTCACATTTGTTTTTTGTTTTCTTTATCTAGTCCTTATTTTGGGCTGCACGGAGGTTTCCTCCGGGTGCTCCGGTTTCCCCCACAGTCCAAAGACATGCGCTATAGGAGAATTGAGTAAACTAAATTGGCTGTAGTGTACGAGTGTATAAGGGTGTATGGGTGTTTCCCAGTACTGGGTTGCGTAAAACGTATGCTGGAATAGGTAACGGTTCTAAAATAAATCAGGGACTAAGTCAAAGGAAAATGAATGAATGATAAAATGGAATGTACACTCACTGGCCACTTTATTAGGTACACCTTTCCAACTGCTTGTTAATGTAAATTTCTATTCATTTCCAATCACATGTCAGCAACTCAATGCATTTAGGCATGTAGACATGGTCAAGACGATCTGCTGCAGTTCAAACGGAGCATCAGAATGGGGAAGAAAGGTGATTTAAATGACTTTGAACATGGCATGGTTGTTAGTGACAGACGAGCTAGTTTAAGTATTTTAGAAACTGCTGATCTACTGGGACTTTCACGCACAACTATATCTAGGGTTTAAAGATAATGGTCTAAAATGAGGAAATATCCAGTGAGCGGCAGTTCTGTGGGTGCAAATGCCTTGTTGAAGCCAGAGGTCAGAGGAGAATAGCCAGACTGGCTCAAGCTGATAGAAAGGCAACAGTAACACAAATAACCACACGTTACAACTGAGGTCTGCAGAAGAGAATCTCTGAACACACAACATATCCAACCTTGAGGTGGATGGGCTACAGCAGCAGAAGACCACACCAGGTGCCACTCCTGTCAGCTAAGAACAGGAAACTGAGGCTACAATTCACACAGGCTCACCAAAGTTGCACAATAGAAGATTGGAAAAACGTTGCCTGGTCTGATGAGTCGATTTTTTTTTTTTTTTTTTTTTTTTTTTTTTTGCTGCCACATTTGACATTACATCTCTTTATGACCACAGTGTACCCATCTTCTGATGGCTACTTCCAGCAGGGTAAAGCACCATGTCATAAAGTGTGAATCATCTCAGACTGGTTTCTTGAACATGACAATGAGTTCACTGTAGTCACATGCCCTCCACAGTCACCAGACGCAATCCAATAGAGCACCTTTGGGATGTGGTGGAACGGGAGATTTGCATCATGGATCTGCAGCCGACAAATCTGCAGCAACTTGCTATCATGTCAATATTGAACATGTACCTTGTCGAATCTAAGGGTGTTTTCACACCTGCATTATTTAGTTGGGTTGACTCGCACTAGAGTTCGTTTTCCCTCTTGGTGCGGTTCGTTTGGGCAGGTGTGAATGTGGCAATCGTACTCGAGTGCGCATCAAAAGCGGACCGAAAAAGCGGACCGAGACCTACTTAAAGAGGTGGTCTCGGTCCGTTTTCAAACGAATCCTGAAGCGGATCATTTGTGGTGAGAACATGATCCGAACTAAACAGACCCAACCGCAAAAAGTACAGCGCCTTTTGGACCAATCCAGTTGCCGTAGTCCGATGCGCTGTCCCATTTTTTGGGGTTTGGAGGAAAAATACTTGTTGACAGCGCTTACCAGCAGTTTTAAAGAGAGAGAGAGAGAAAAACATTACCTGATGGATCGTTGGTAGTATTTGTGGAAGATGACCATGTCCATTTTAGCTAAATTATTTCATGCCTCCTCCTAACGCCTTCACCGATTGCAATGCATTAAAACATTGTTTTCCAGCCGCAGGTGTGCTTCATTCTCGAAATGTATAGTTTGTCTAAAGTGATATATACAAACTATATAGTATATTATAAGCAGGGATACAATCAGCCAATGCAGCGACATTTAGTTTCTGCCGGTTTGTTTACTTGTGGGAGTTCCATTGGCATTTTCCCACATGTTAATTCTGACCAATCGAAAAGCAGTTTAGCAAATACATTCAATAACATCTGGCCAATGAGTGATGTGGATTGTCAAATTCTGCATTTTGGTTCTTTTCAACTGGTTCGGACCAAATCAATCAGTGTAGTGTGAAAAGGACCCAAAACGCAGAAAAATGCTACAATGTATGAGTTGTTGCCCTTGGTAAGGACCAAATTAACCGAACTATAGGTGTGAAAGCACCCTACCCTAAGAATTAAGGCAGTTCTGAAGGCAAAGAGGGTCCAACCTGGTACTTGCAAGGTGTACCTAATAAAGTGGCCAGTGTGTGTGTGTGTGTGTGTGTGTGTGTATATATATATATATATATATATATATATATATATATATATATATTTGCAAAAAAAAAGTTTTTTTTACTGAAATAAGGTTCCCAAACTCTGAATTTAATCTTTCAATAATTTCCTTAATTGTGTAAAATGACACATTTGCAAGAATATCTATTATTTTCCTCTATCTAATCCATGCATTTGTTTTATTCACCATAATTCACAATTCCTATATCAGGCTAAAATTGAGGCTTCATTTAGTTTTGTTTATTTGAGATGTAATAAAATATCTAAATATTTAGATTCTTTTTATGTCTTTCTCTCTATCTTACACACATCATTCCATTACCATCATGCAGAGTTTTCAAAATGTATGCATCATGCAACAAATCCACTTCAACTCCACTTGTGTTGCGACACATACATAAACATGAGTAAAACACAGTTGGAAGAGCTTTCATACTCCACCATTTCAAGTGTTCAGAACTGTTTCCATCACGCTCTGATGTCTGATTTCTTTCTCTCTTTCTCTGTGTGTTTGTGTGTAGGATGATAGAGGAGGGACGGAAGGCCGTTGTCATGGCCGACCGGAAGCAGCTCTTCATGGACATGAGTGGGTGACCTTAAACTTGCTGACCATTAACCCAGATAATTCACTCATGCATCTGAATATAATGTGTGGTTTTTGGTAAAATGTCCAAAATGTCAGTATTATAATATAATCTTAAATAGAGATGCACTGGGCGAAGCAGTGGCGCAGTCGGTAGTGCTGTTGCCTCACAGCAAGAAGGTCACTGGTTCGAGCCTCTGCTCAGTTGGTGTTTCTGTGTGGGGTTTGTTTCCTCCGGGTGCTCCGGTTTCCTCCACAGTCCAAAGACATGCGGTACAGGTGAATTGGGTAGGCTAAATTGTCCTTTGTATGAGTGTGTGTGTGTGGATGTTTCCCAGAGATGGGTTGCGGCTGGAAGGGCATCCGCTGCGTAAAAACTTGCTGAATAAGTTGGCGGTTCATTCCGCTGTGGCGACCCCGGATTAATAAAAGGACTAAGCCGATAAGAAAATTAATGAATGAATGAGATTTTATTTTTGATAAGTGTGCCCATTTTCTGAAGAACCATAATTCACATCATCTACAAGCAAAAAAAAAAAAAAACTTTATTCCATTTTTTTGGTGATAAATAATGTATTTTATTACATTTATTATATTTGGTAAAAAAAATTTGATTAAAGAATTATTTAAATTGTATTTGAAAATTATTTAGTATAATAAATAGAAAAATGTTATTAAAATAAACATTAGTTTTCTCCAAACTACAGTAACACTAGCAAAATGTGAAATTTTCCGCTGTTTATTACTTTTTACTGATTGTCCGGGAAACCGTCTGATTCCAGTCCTTGACCTGTTGACCCTGTTGCATCCTTGACCCGGTGCATCTCTAATCCTAAATGTAAAACATACTTTTGTAATGACCTATTTTTATTATGATTTTTTTATGAGAAGGATTTCTTTTATGTGAATCCTTTAAAAATGTTAGATTTTTAATTAAATAATATTTTAAAGGTTGTTTTAGATTTGTATTTTATGCTTTATTTTTCATTTATTGCAGTCTTCATGTCATTCTTTTGCTTTAAGCCTATGTATTATATGAAAGTTGGTCACACTTTATTTTAAGGTAGAATTCCTGCTATTATCAAATCTATAACTAAGACTTTTAGCTCAGTAAACTACTTATTTGCTGCTTATTAATAGTTAGTAGTTGTGTTTAGGTAATGGATAGAACAAGCGATGCAGAAAAAGATCATACTTTACTTTTTTATGTAGCAATCTATAATAATGATAATAATAAGCAGGTAATAAATAATAGTGGGAATTAGTACTTAAAGGTGCAGTAGGTGATCTGCCAAAATGCTAACCGCTTAGGATAGCATCTTTAGACGGCGGGGAGGGACTGTGATTCAAAGCCACACCCCCTAAAATCGTGAGCACGTACACCACGTCACAACAGCAGACAGACAACCCACTAGGTCATGTCATTCGCCAGTTAGTTAGTTAGTGCCAGCGCCGTGCAGGAATTACATTTATTACTTAGCCACACTTACATGCTATTACAGAGTGAATATTCAGAGTAGCGGTAAACAGTATAGGAAGGCTGTCATTGTTCAAAAATGACCCAATGTGAATATAAAAGCAACTTCAGCTCAATAAAGCAGGTTAGGCGGAATAGCGCTATTTACTGGTGTTTTGTTGTGAAACTACATAAAAATCTACATTTATAAATGCTGTAAATGGACCTTATGAAACTGAAAATAATCACGTCAATCTTTCACCGGGAGATTTCAGTGGCTGAACAACACTTCTGTGCATATAAGTCATTCATAACAGAACACAATCTAACATAAGCTTAGCCTGACTAAAATAGTTTTAAAACTGAACATTACCTTTCTAACAGTAATACTTCAGCCATGGTGTCGTCCTTCCTCCAGCGTGCTAAAGTAACTCCAATACTGATTCAGGTTTTTAAAAGTTTCAATTCAGCATTTGATTTCTCCAGCTCTGTCTCGCTTATGCAGACGGGCACGCGCGAATGGCGGATCTGCGTGAACAGATGCGCAGAAGTCCGAATCTACATTTGCTGACAGACAGTCTGAGCTGCTTATCGGAATTATGAGAGATGTCGGCCCGACTCTATTTAATTGGATGAACATTTTTTAGTTTTATGCCTTACCCAGAATATAAAAATACATATACACACATTTAGATCATTTACTGTAATCATTACTATTGGACTGTGAAGAGACTTTCAACCAGCACAACAAAAAATGTTTCTGAAGACAATCACCTACTGCACCTTTCAGCTAAAGGGTGTACTGAAAAGTGTTTTTTATTATCCATTGTGCTATAAAATAGCCATTGATTCTGATATGGCAATAAACTCTAAACTTTCTCTCTTTGGTTCTTCAGAGACGCAGAATTATGACACCATCCGGCTGTCCACGTATCGCACCGCCTGCAAGCTCCGATTCGTTCAGAAGAAATGCAACTGTGAGTAATAAAACTGACCAGTGTTACAAGAAATGCGATGCTGCAAATATGTTTGTGTTCTAATTCAGTTTTTAAGTTTAAATATCAGCTCTGTGTTATTAGTCAAAAAATATGAGCCGCACTCGGAAGTGAAAATGAAACCAACGCGCACATCATTTAAATGATCATGTGGCATTTTACAGTTATGATTAAGACAAGCATTTGTTATGTTTTTTTTTTCTTTCATAGCGAACACAGTGTTGTGCATGGGAATAGATGTTTAACAGTGTCAGTATTACTACTCTAGCCATAATGTAATAATATAATTCAGGAGGGAATCTGATAATGAAATGTCTGATTTTCGTTTCTTTCATTCATTTTCTTGTCGGCTTAGTCCCTTTATTAATCCGGGGTCGCCACAGCGGAATGAACCGCCAACTTATCCAGCAAGTTTTTACGCAGCGGATGCCCTTCCAGCCGCAACCCATCTCTGGGAAACATCCACATTCACACCCACACTCATACACTACGGTTAATTTAGCCTACCCAATTCACCTGTACCACATGTCTTTGGATTGTGGGGGAAACCGGAGCACCCGGAGGAAACCCACGCGAAGGCAGGGAGAACATGCAAACTCCACACAGAAACGCCAACTGAGCTGAGGTTCAAACCAGCGACCCAGTGACCTTCTTGCTGTGAGGCGACAGCACTACCTACTGCGCCACTTCTTCGCCATGTCTGATTTTACCAGTGAATAAATGGTTTAATAATGTTCTCAACGACAAATGACAAGCATATCTGTCAAACACAATAATTCAACATCAAAATTATGAATAGTTGTATTCTGATGTCATCACTTTACTGTGAGTTACTGACCAGGAAATTTTTTAAGTCTGTTAAAGTTCACTATTCAGTCTATTAACCTTATTCTCAAATGCGGAAGTGCGCCTGTTTTCGCGATTGTCTTAGAACTTCCGTTTCAGTCGCCTATGGGAGAAATGACAAGGAATAATAAACGGGAAAAAACGGTCAAACTACTTGCTTTACAAACAAATGTTTGCATGACTACACAGACCAAGTAGAATAATACAACAAGGAAATATCAGTTTGCAACATCAAACAACGAAACGAGCAGTTTTTAATGTCTAAAAATGAATGGAAGTGAATGAGACCGAAAGTCTCGTGCCAAAAAGATTCAAATGGCAGCGCCCGCTCGTCGGCGAAGAATAAGGTCAATACAAAATTAAGTTTTTGAACCAACAGTAGTTACACATAATATTATTGTTGTTTTACCATATGTTTGAGAAATAACAAGAATAATAGCCTACTCATAATAATTTTTATTTTACATCTACAGAAAATCGTGATCTTTATAAGTAAAAAAAAAAGCCAGAATCGTGCAGCTCTATTGCATAGTGCTTTTCACAATAATTATTGTTTCAGAGCAGCTTTACAGAAGGTGCACATTCTTACATTACAATCCTTTATTAGTTACTAATAACTAGGCCCACACGGAATCTGCTCTCGCAGAAATCTGCAGATTTCCTCAGATTTTTAGGCCATAATTTATTCACTTTTACACTTATTTATTCACTTGTGTAAATGTGTGTAAATTTATATTTATTCGGTTTTTAAATTCATTTCTGTAATGTTATTGACTAATATGAAAATGTTCATATGATTTATTTTCTATACAGTATGTAAAGTCATGTTTTATGTTTTTTGTTGATATATTATATGAGAAACATGTTTTGTTTACCAAATAAGTGGATCTAATTGGATTTGCATTATAAACATTAACAGTTAAAAATGTATTATTTTGGAGTTCATATATTAAGTTTTTAGTTATAATAATCCCAATATTGTTCCGCATAAATCCGCAAATGTTTTACAAAATTCTGCGCAGAAATAGCAATAAATGTCCACAGATTCTGTCTGGCTCTAATAATTACTTTATTTGTTAAGGGGGAGGGGCATATTAAGTAAAAGAGTCATTCAATATAAAATGCCAGCACACAATTGACCCTTCGCTAAGCCACACCCAAAGACCGCTACCCACCAATCGTGGCTTAGCAACTGTAGGGGTGTTAAAATTAATCGTTTCTTCGATGCACCGCGATGCAGACACGGACAATTCGGTATCGGTTCAGTAATAATCATAACCGGTTATTATTGACGTCATTTACCTCGTATGCGCTCTGTCGCGAGGGAGACGATCGCGAGTATTTACAACGCTCCAACTACTTAATACTCATGAACTGTGCACAATTTCACTGTGTGTGTTTGAGAGTGAAAGTAGCCTACTCCATTTCTCTCTCTCTCTCTCTTTCTCTCTCTCCTCTCGCTCGCTCTCGCTCTGTCTCTGTCTCTCTCTCTTTCTCACACACACACAGTGGCCCATTCGACCTGCTGGCGTGGCTTTTCTTCTCCTCTCGGCTGTTTTACATCGTTACTTTTGGATACAAAAATGAGCGCGTGTCTGCAGAGTTTTCTCCACCGTGTCTATCATACATCAGCTGTGAGATCGCCCCTGCCGCTTATCATTCATCTGAAGAGCGCAGCGCGAAAGAGCCAATCTCAACTGTTTTTGTTGAGGGTGTGACCAATCAAAGGGGTGTAAGAGAACTAGACAAGGATCAGAAATTGAGCTGGATATTTATATTTTATTTGTTTATATTATTTGCTAAAAGCTCGTTTTTTTTAAGTTACAGTTTATATATCTGACTGTTTGTATTAAATGACACAATTGTATTACAAATAATAGCCTATATAAATATAAATATATTCATACATTTTAATACAAGAGCTGCTGCTGTGAAGAAAATATAAAAGCATCGTCAATGCACCGTGATGCATCGAAATATCGAATTGAACCGAATCGACGGCATGATAATCGTAACCGAACCGAACCGTGAGACTAGTGTAGGTTCACAGCTCTACGCAGAGGCTTTGTCAAGCTTTCGACCGAGGGAAACAAGCTAAAGTGTTTTGCATATGGATTGTGCAAATCTGATAGTCTGTATCCTTAAAATTTGGACGGGGTGGTGTAATTCTTTCTCTTTTCAAAACCTAAAACCCAAGAGGAGAAATGCCAGCGTGAATCAAAATCTGAGGGGTGCTAAAAGAGCGGAGCTAAGTTATATTGACCGACAGCAATAACTTGCACACCTTTTACCCTAAACAGATCTAAACTGTGTTTCCTACAAAAATACAAATCAGGTTATGTTTCCCAGCTGTCTTTTTCTTTTTTCCGCTCGATACTATGAGCACTGCTCCGTTTAAGCGTTAGCCATAGTAGCCATACTAATAGCAATCATATTTCCATCTGCTTCAAACCATGAATATTTGAAATTATATATCAACAGAACAAAAACCGAGATCTGATCACAACCTAAATACTTCCGTATATATATATATATAAGTATATATCATTATATATATTTATATATATATATTTGCTGGTAGTGAAAATCTGTTCACTTCTGCTATTTATACTTCGATTTGCATTTTTCAATTTATTTATTTCCTCCACTGAACTGCAAATTAGAATAGAACTTGGATAAAGATCACACAAACATACTGACAGTTATAGGCACTGAACAATGTTGTGAGTGAATGATGCTAAAATTCAGCACAAATCCATCAGTTTCCCGCTCCTTCCTGCCTGTACTTTCTGTAAATTATGTAGAAGCACTGTCATACGCGTTCCCTCAGCGGTTAGTAACGCTATATTTCATTGCACAATAGCTTATTAAGTTTTTGGCTAAAAATAGAGAAATCACGGTTTAATTTGTTACTATTAGATTATTTTTAAATTTCACCTCTCCAACTGTGCATGAGCTAAGCTGTTGAATGGTTAGCATATGAGGCGGTTAGGCTAAGCTAGCTTCAATTTTGATTAAATTATTCTCTAATTGGTTGCTATTTGGTCGTGAATATACCCCTGTAAAAGGACTGCAGTCCTTTTTTGTCTGTCTTTTTCAGATATCTCACCTGTTTGCCAAAAATGACCAATTATATCCCTGGGAATGTCTGACACCGGCGCACACACACTGTAATAGATGTAGCAGGCACGAAAGCTTGACAGGCGTAGCAACAGTAACTAAGGAGGGCGGGGCTTAGCAAAGGGTCATTTCAATTACTGCTTTTTATATGTGATGTGTTTTGTCGCTCAGTGCATCTGGTGGACGTGTGGAACATGATCGAGGCATTTCGTG